TTTATTTTTCTTCAAATAATAAAAACAAACCATGTTGTTTGACTGAACAAAAGAAGATATTCAAACCCTCTTTTTATCTCAATCTATATCTTTACTATTTTTTTATTATTTTTATTTTTTAAAAAATATAAAACAAATTGAGGATATTATTTCAGAAGAAAAGAAATTACTTTAAAAGAATAATTATTTGAGTGAGAAAGAAAATGAAATGATCTTGGTTTTTATCTTTGTTTTTACTGTGTATTCTCAACCGCATCTTCCTGTTATAAGAGTTTATTACAACGAAACCAAAGACTGTTCTTTCGTTAATCTTTGGAAAAAGTTTGCACCATCATTAACTCATGACAAATTTACTTTAAAATTTGGTGGTGGTGATACGTTTGAACATTTATTTTTCATTGGTAATGATACAAACGAGGTTGTGCTTATTGGGATAGAACAAAGTCGTTTTCCCGATTATTATCTTGAAAATCAAAAGCCATTTGTAAGACTTGTTGGAAGTGATCATATTAGTTCTCTTAGTGTTTCTCTAGTGCCACCAAAGTCTTATTTATTTACTAATGTGATTAACTTACTTAAAAAAAAAGACTTTAAAGATACAATTATTCTTTCTCAACCTCAGTTACCCTCTCACTTTGATTCAGTTATTGTTACTGACTTATCAAATGAGACACTAAATTTGCTTTTGTCATCAGAAGTTGATAAAGACATTCCAGTCTTTATCTTTTTTGGAATTTATGCTTCTCCAGATACTGATTATTTTGTTAAACAATTACAACAAAGAAAATACACATTTGTCATTGCACCAACAGTTTCAAGAGACCACACTTATCGATTGAGCCAAGACTATGTCCCTTACCAAGCATTTCTTTTTGATGCAATGCTTGTTGCTTCTCATGGAATTCAAAGTCAGTCCAATATATCACTTTCTCCTCTTTCAGTTTATGAAAGACTTATAAGTACTCAATATAATGGGATGTCTGGACTATTTTCTTTTAATATGAATGGAGAACGTGATAAGTTTTTGTTTTCAGTATATGAAATTCAACCTAATAGTCAATTAAACCGTCTTGGTTTTATTGACCAAAATGGCTATGAAATTATAAATGAGTCACTACTTCCTTCAAAAAATTTAAAAATGAAACGAATTATACTTATTGTTTTTGGTGCAACATTTGTTGTTGCTATATGCATTGTTTGTGTTTTAATCATTAGTATGTTTGTTAAAAAAGCAAGTTCTAAAATTATTGCTATCAAAGACATTGCTTTTACATTACCTCCTCTTTTTAGTAATGACCATGCAAAAACATATTATGGAATGTGGAGATTAAAGAAGGTTTGTGTGAAGGTATTAACACAACCACATAATTCAAATCAGATTGCTGAATCAATTTATCAACTCAAGAAAGTAAAAAATGAACATATAATTAAAATATTTGGAGGTAACATTAATCCTGAATTAATTGTTATGGAATATGCAGAAAGAGAGTCACTACTTGATGCTGTTCAACGGTATGACCCTTATATTCAGATTAAGGATGTTCAACACAAAATAATTGGTCAAACATTGCAAGGATTATCATTTCTTCATAAAAAAAATGTTCTTCATCTAAATCTTACACCATCCAATGTTCTATTAACTGAAAAGTATGATGTTAAGCTTAGTGATATGGATGGATCATTGTTTAGCCATGATAGAAGACAAGAGGTTGCAAATTGGAAGAAAAGAAAAATAAGATATTGCCCACCAGAATTATTAAATGAATTAGATCTTGATGAAACTACTGACGTTTATATGTGGGCAATGAACATATTTTATTTAACAACCACAGTCCATCCTTTCCAAGAAATCTCAAATAAAGGTAAATTGATTCATACCATTAATTCAGGGACTCGCCCAATTTCAACATTGATTAATGATAGATCTATTGAAGAATGTGTTGAAATGTGTTGGAAAAATGCTAAAGAAAATAGACCGTCTATAGATGAACTACATCAATATGCACAATTTACTCAGTTTGTATCTCCATTACCTAATTTTTGAAGGAGAGTGTAAATTTAAGAGAATAATATGAATATTGTTGACTTTTTATTCTTGTTAGATAAAAAAACTTATGTCTCCGTTTAAAAATAATTAAGAATTCTAGAAGAAAAATAATTTTCTTCTAAGAAAAAAAAAGAAGGAAAAGGAAGTCTATTAAATGTAAAAAGAAGGTATATTATTTCGAGTATACGACTTCTAGAAAGTTAGTTTTTTTGGTTCATCTACCAATTCAATGAACGCCATGAATAAGCTTAAGGAGAACACTACACCCACACCATTTATTCTTAAATTATATGAACTTGTCAATAATCCTGAAAGTCAACACTTAGTTTGTGTAGTACTATTGTTTTAGTTTTTCATTTGTTATTGTATTTCAGTTAAAAATTTAATTACAACTTACAAATAAAGATGAGGTGGTGTGATGAACCAAACAGAAATGGGTTTGTTGTTCTTGAGCCAATTGAATTGTCAGCCAAATACTTACCAAGATTTTTTAAACACAACAACTTCTCATCATTTGTTCGTCAGTTAAATATTTATGGTTTCCACAAAGTTGATCATCCTCAAGGACAATGTTTCCAACACCCAAATTTCTGTAGAGATAAGCCAGAATTACTAACTCGTATTCAAAGGCAACATAGTAAAAAGGCTGACGCTGAAAATACTGAATTATATAAAATGTTATTAGACAAATTAAGAGAATTACAAAAAGACTCTCTTCATACTCAAAATGATCTTCAACAATTGAACGAAATGCTTTTTACCCTAAAATCTCGTGTTGATAACTTAGACACGAGAATGCAAAGAGTCGGCCAATTCATTAACTTTTTTAATCCAAACTTTAAACCATTCAAAAGAGAGCCTTCATTCGATACAAAAAATAAGGACTCCTTAATGACTGGAATGAATCCTTGGGAATAATATTCCTTTTATCCTGTTCTTATCTTATTGAATTTTTTGGTATTCCATCTATTTTCTTCTTTTTCTATTCAATTTATCATATGGAGGATTAATTTTATAAAGTATCTCTAACTTTACTTAATACCTTCTGTGTCTTTAAATTGTTTCTTATTTAAATTGTTTATCTTATTTGATATTTTATTATTTTGTGTTACACTTAGTATAAAACTTCTAAATCTTGTTTAATGTTGTACGGCGTTTTAAATAATTTTCTATATTTTTTAAAAATGTAAAGAACTATCAATTAATTAAATTGTAGATATTCTGAATATTATGTGATAGTGTTGAGACTATAAACAAATTAAATAATAGTACATGAACAAAGAGGGTGTGTATCATTATAAAGTTCGAATGGGTTAATATCAAGTAAACAAATTACAGATATTGATAAGAATATGTGAAAATAGTTAAAAGTGGAGTTTTCTAATAAAAGAGAAATTCCAATTAAATTAAAAATAAAAGAAGCATGGGGCATAACAAATTGAATAATAAGGTTGTATCTAATAATTAAAGATAAACACAGATCTAAAACAGAAAGATTAAGATGTTATGACAGGAGAATAATCGTTCAAAAGTTCTGAATAGAAGTTGTTTAATTTCGTTGATGATTATATAACAAAACAAATAAAGAAAAAATTATGAATAAATTAAATGCTCTATTAACAGAATACCAAAGAAGAGGTGAGATGTTTCATATTAATAATAGAATAATTCTTGCCAATGAAGAAAAGAAGAAAATTATTGAAAGAGAAAGGATAATATCAGGCTAATCACATTATCATGAAGTTGAATTTAGAGAAACAAAATGTTAAAATATATTAAACTACTCTACATTTATCATTTCTAAAATAAAAATAACGAATAAAATCAGTATTGAAATAGAAAATCGAAGAGATAACAAAGAGAAGTAAATTTAGGAATCTAAATAAAAAAGTTTTTAAGGTACTTTATTATGAAAGAATTAGTACTCAGTAACACTATAACATATCATTATAGATAAAAAACAAGAGTTATTGAAAGAGTAAATAAAATAAACATAAAAAAGAGACTAAATATAGCAATGGTATTAGTTTAATTTCTAGACAGTCTGAATAAAATAAATTCTTATTAGACAAGACAAGTAGATTTAAAAATTTATAAGAATTAAAAAAGAAATAGTAAATGACAGAGAGATACTATTTATGTAAACAGAAAGAGTATATTGTAAATTCGATGAAATGAATATACTATTTCTCATTTAGTAAAGAAGTTAACACAAAATAAAAAAAACTGGATGGTTTCATCTGCCTAATTGGATTATTAAATATATACAAGCACTGAAGTTATACGTATAAAACATCATGTTTTCTGTATGAAATTAAATTATAGAAAGATTTAACTTCAAATTATGGAATAAAAATAACTAAAAGTTTTTAATAGTTCAATATAGGGTTGGATAAAAAATGTTATATGTTGTGTATCACTGTAAATGAAAAAGAATATAATTAATGAAAGTAATTGTAAAATAAATAAAGACTAGTGTAGAATCATAAACTTTTTATATTATTATTTAAAAAACAAAAAAAGAGTTATATAAAAATTATATAAAGAAGACTTTCCTGGATTAGTATTGAATAATTGATAGTATTACTTACGCTATAATGCTTTTTGATTGTTTTAGTTTTTATTATTGTTTTTTTATTATTTATGTTTTAGTAATAAAAAGAGAAAAGAAAAAGAAAAATGTTTTTTAAACCAAGCAGATTTCAGTGAAGATGCCACGAGAAATTATTACTTTAAATGTTGGACAATGTGGAAATCAATTGGGAAGTGAATTTTTTAAGAAAATATGTTCAGAACATGGAATATTACCTGATGGATCATTATCTACAAATGAATTTATTGATGACAGAAAAGATGTATTTTTTTATCAAGCAGACGACCAACGGTATGTCCCAAGGTCTATTAATATTGATCTTGAACCACGAGTGCTTGACTCAATAAGAACAAGTGAGTGGAGTAATTTTTATAATCCAGAAAACTTTATTATACCAACAAATAATGGAGCAGGAAATTCATGGGCAAATGGATACTACACTACAGAGAAAATGAGTGAGATAGAAGAAATTATTGATAGAGAAGTAGAGCATTGTGACAGTTTAGAAGGATTTTTCTTCTGTCACTCTATTTGTGGAGGGACTGGAAGTGGTTTAGGAAGTAAAATTATGGAAATGATTAGTGAAAAATATCCAAAGAATATACTAACTTCATTTAGTGTAATGGTAAAAGAAAATCCAGATGTTGTTGTTTCTCCTTATAATTCTATATTAACTCTAAGACGTTTAATCACAGAATGTCAATCAGTTGTTGTATTTGATAACTCAGCTTTAGCAGATATTACACACACGCAATTTGGGGTTGATGAAGCAACGGTATTTGATATGAATTCTATAATATCTTCTTCAATGTCTGCTTTTACTGCAAATCTTAGATTTCCATCAACTTTGTATAATTCTTTAAACAGTTTAATGATTCATCTTTGTCCATCTCGATTTAGCCACTTCTTAATGACAAGTTACACACCATTACGTCAGGTTAATCAAATATCAAGTAGAACAAGTGCTATTGATGTAATGAAACGTCTAATACAACCTCAAAATATTATGGCTCGAACACGTTTAAAGGAAGGTAAATATATTTCAATGTGTGATTTCTTTCAGGGTGACGTTAGTTATGATGAGATTAATGAAGCTCTTCAACGATTCACTGACCGTCGGTTAGCTGAGTTTGTTCCTTGGAACAAAGAAGCTATTAAAGTTGTTCACACAAGAGTTTCTCCTTTAGTCAAAAGAGGAAACAGAATGAGTGGGATGTTATTGGCTAATAATACTAGTATCAGATATTATTTCCAAGACATATTAAAGGCTTTTGACCAGATGTTCAAAAAAAGAGTGTATTTAGAAAGTTATAGGGAACAATTTCACGATAATTTCCAGGAATTTGAAGAGTCTAAAGAAATTGTAAAATGTGTTATTGAAGAATATGCTAAAGCAGAGTCTATTGAATATTCTGATTATTCTTATCCTATCCATAAATATTTGAAAGGAATTGCTAAAGAAAAAATAGCTGAATAACTAAGTATACTTTTTACTTAAAAATTA